TTTTCCGGAGGGGGGGGGGGGGGGGGGGGGGTTCGAACCGGTAGTGACCCCCCTCGGTTTTCGAGCGGAGGGGGGGGGGGGTGGGGGGGGGGGGGGTTAGGGGAGGGGGGGGGGGTTTTGCCGGGGGGGTGGGGGGGGGGGAGGGGTTCCGCAGGGGGGGGGGATTTTCGGAGGGGGGGGGAGACCCCCGGGTTCCGGAGGAAAAGGTTGGCAATTTTCCACAGTAAAGCGGCGGTGGATCACGCTCTCTCTAATATCGCCAACGTGCGCTTGTCCGCCAAGGCCCCTCAGTGCGAAGCGGGCAGCGCAATGAAGGCCGACGCAGGCTGCGCGCTATCGGTGGAGCTGAGCGGGGTAAGCACGCACTGGACTACGCAGCGCACACCCTAAAGAGCATCGGCTTTCGTCCGACCCGACATGTGGAGGCACCGCCCCCCACGCGCGGCGCAAAAGAAGAACGCCGCTGCGCCCCAGCGGCCACCGAGAGGCGCAGAGAGAACAAGGGGAGGCGGACATTCCCCGCCTCCGCCGCCCCGGCCCTGGCCAGGGGTCGCGCCGCGGCGGGCCGCCGCCCGCCGCTGCTGCTGGCTACCGCTGGCGCCGCCGCCGTCGTCGGCGTTACGGCTCGGGCCCCAGGGCTGGCGCCCCGCGGAGGCCATGGGAGAACCCCGAAGAGGCCCCGGGGGAGCAACAGCAGGCTCCTTTGGAGTCCCGAAACGGTGCGGTGACGGACCTTGCGGTGACCTCGCCACCCCCCAAGACCTCACCGCACGGTCCGTCACCGCACGGTCTTGGGACCCCGGAGGCCCCTGTCGCCCGAGACATCCTCAGAGAACGACCCGAGTCCAAAAACCGTGCGGTGACCCCGAGTCCCCACCGACTCACCGCACGGTGTGGTCACCACCCCGTTTGGGGACCGCCGAGCTCCGCGTGTAGGCCCAGGAGCGCGACACTGGGGAGGCCTTGGGAAACGGCCGTCGTTGTTCTCACGGTCGTCGTCGTCCTCGTCGTCGTCGTCGTCGTCGTCATCGTCGTTGTCTGCCGTCGGCGTCGGCGGTGGCTGCCGCCCGCCGCTGCTGGTGGCTAGCGCTGGCCTGTGCTTCTGGTCTGGGTCCCGAGTCGTCGGCGTCGGTCCGCGGGTGTGTCTGTCCCCCCGCTTCCGGCTCTTAGGCCGTCAGGGCAGCCTCGAGGGCCATCTTAGCACGTCGTGGTGGTATCCTGGGCCATTTTGAAGTGTCCTGACCTGCTAGGGCCCATGTGAGCCGTCTAGCACGCCCTGGAACCCGCCCCGAAGAAACCCCGAAGATGCCCCAAGAGGCCCCAACCAAAGGCCCAAATGTTGCCCGATACGCGTCCAAGACACCCGCGAGAGGAGCCACCAAAAAGCCGATATCTGTAGCTGGCCGACGGAAGAAACCGCAAAGACGCCACACAGCAGGAAAAAGAGGCGTCTTGGACGCTCTTGGAGGCCTTCAAAATAGTTCAAGGCTCCCAGAGGCCTCCAAGAATACCCGAGGCTGTCACGCGTCCACATGCTAGACAATGTCACCGGAGAGGTTCTAAAGGACGTCGATGTTGATGTCCAAATCGACGTTCACGGAACCCAAAAAACAAGGAGACTCCAAGCCATGACGAGAGGGCTTCCACCTACCGTCTGGACCTCTCCCGCAGTGGGGGCCCAACCAGGCCCCAGCGGCTGCAAAGACTTCCCAAAGGTGCTCCGACCGCCTGGAAGCCTGAAAGAGGCCCAAGGAGGCATCATAGGCTCTGAAAACGTCGCCGATGTGTCGGAAAGTTGCCAAACAGCCTCCCAAAGATCCCAGAGGACAGCAAAACGCCCAGCCTCGGCCGAACAAGTCGTGGTTTCGGGCGTGGTTGCGGTGCAATTGGGTCCGCTGGACACCATATATTGTGATGACCTATGCTTTCGTAATGGTCATGGTAGAAGGTCGTCGTTATCGTCAACTCCGAGGCCAGGGGGGAGCATCCAGGACATCCTTCTCCTCCTTTTCCTCCTTCAGATCCTCCTCCTATTCCTCCTCCTCCTCCTCCTCCTCCTCCTCCTCCTCTTCCTGAATTCCCTTCTGCACAATTGCTGGCTCATCTTTCATGGCTCGAAATTGTCGGCGGACACCGATACCGGGACCCACGTGTCAACACGGACGCACCCACCGTACATCAGTTCCACTCCGTTCCACCGACAGCGAAGCACGGACACTTGGGAGCCGTTTTGAGACCGTCTGGGACTATTCTTGGGCTCTTGGGGGCGTCTGGGGAGCGTCTTATCAGCGAGAGTCGGACTCTTGGGAACCATCATGAGGCCGTCCGGGTCCATTCTGAGGCTCTTGGGGGCGTTTTGGGTGCTTCTCGGGGCGTTCTTGGAACCCGCTTGCGGCCTGGAGAGCCGTCTCGGGACTCTCTGGGGCCGTCCTGGAGAGCTCTTGTGTTGTCTGGGGGACTCTTGGGCCGTCATTGGGGCCTCTTGAGGGCGTCGTGCGGGTCTCTTAGGCGGTCTTGTGTGCTTCGGGGGCCGCAGTGGAGCGTCGGGAAGCGGAAACGTCGTGCATGTCAAAAATGTATGTTTTCTTCTCATGGGGAATTGAACCATTAAAACATCTCGGGGCTCTCTTGGGAAGGCTCTTGGGCCTGCCTTGGGCGGTCCTGGGGGCCTCTGGGGCCATCTTGGGGCCATCTTGGGCGTGCGGGTGCCCTCGGGGCCTGTCTTGGAGCGCTCTTGGGGCACTCTGGGGCCGTTTTGGCTGCTCCAGGGAGGCTCCTGGGCCTCCCATCGGGGTCTCTTGAGGGGTCTTGGGGGTCTCGTGGGCGGTCTCGGGGCGGTCTTGTGTGCTTCGGGGGCCGCCGCGGAGCGTCGGGAAGTGAAAACGTCGCGCATGTCAAAAATGGACGTTTTCCCATATAGCTGGAAGTTCGCCTTCCCACAATTCCTATAGTTTAAATGGAATCGACAAATATTTACGTCTGTCTCTATTTGTCCCTCCTGAATATTGTCACTTAGAAGAGGGCGAGATGAGACAGCGGTAGTTGGCCTTCGGGGGGGCCCTCGTCGCCACGGCTGGGCGCAGCTCGGGAACCTGGTGCGCCTGGGCCCCAAGAGGGGTCCTGGGACCGACGTCGAGATGCCATTGTCTCAGCTCTCCCTGCTCCGAGTCACGAGCGACGGGCACATGTGTGCCCAGGCTGAGACGAAGGCAGGATGAAGCTACATTCGGATGAGGAATACATCAAGAACCAATGAAGGCGGGTCTGGAGGATGTTTCGGGCGCCGCGGCCGCTCTGAAGCGCTGCAAACGCTCTGCGGCACATCATTTTCTTCCCAGACCTGCCTGCCACGCCCGCGCGATCTGGATTCCGAGACGCGATTCCACGGGAACGCGATCTCATGGATGCATTCCGCCTGAAGCATGTGCGCAAAAGCCGCCCTGCACCCATGGGACCGCGCCTCAAGTGTCTGGACCGCGAGGTTGTCCCACCCATGATCCTGGCGGACGGATGGGGGCAGGGCGTCGAAGCTTGTGAGGCCAAGGCACCTAAGCACCTTGTTGTGGGTAACGGCCAGGGCGAACTTGCCGACGGCGTCGGCACCCAGATCGTTCTTCAGCAGCCAGAGCTTCAGAAGGCAGTCGTTGTCCCTCAGTGCCTCCGCCAGCAATCCTCCACCGCGACTCTTGATGCCATTCGCTTCGGCGTAGAACTCCAATATGGACCGGTTGATCCTGATCATCTCCGCGAACTCCGCGGCGCCCTCGTCCCCGACCTGGTTCAGTCCGACATGCAGCTCGGTCAGGGCAGCGCGCTCTTTACTCAGGCCCTGCGCGATGTACCTCTGGGGGTACCAAGACCGTGTGGAGACGGACCGCGTGGTGACATCGGAATTCCCAACGACCTCACGGCGCAATCCGTCACCGCACGGCCTTGGAACACTGGAGGCAAAGTCGCCCGAAATATCACCTGCGAACGACACGAGTCCCACAACCGTGCGGTGATCCCGAATCCCCACTGACTCACCACGCGGTGTGGTCACCACATTGTTTGGGGCCCATGAAACCTGGCCCCCTCTGCACCGAGGCCGCAACAGCGGAGGTTTAAGATCCTCAGCGAGATGTTGCTCGGGAGCGCCAGTCCGATCGATCGCGCGCCCCCCGCGCCCACCATGTTCCCACACAGCGTCAGCTGCCTGATCCCGGAGTTCACTGTGAGCATCCTCCCGAAGGCCATTCCCCCGTCGCCCAGTATCTCGTTTCTCGTCAGGTCCAATAGAAAACAAAAAAAGGCATACACATAAGCTTTCGGAGGCCCGCACGGACTTCCTGGGTCGCCGCAGGACCCCCTCCCCCTCGCGCGCGGAGCGCGCCGAGGCGGCACTGGAGGCGCCGCCAAGGGGGTTCCAGCGCCGATCCAAGAAATCTGAGCGGACTTGCGAAAATTAAGCTTGTGCCGCGTTTCCGTCTTCGATCTAGGTGGCTCAAGACACAATTGCCCCCCAAGCGGGAGGCCAGCGCAATGGCGCCCCGGTCTCCGATGCCGTTGTCGGTCAGGTCCACGAAATTGATTACGCTGTCGCTCGCAAACGCCTCGGCAAGGCGCGCGGCGCCGTCGTCGCCGATCCTGTTTATGTCCTAGGTGGAGCAAATCAACATGAATATGAACTTTCGGAGTTCCACATGGATTTCTTGGACCAGCGCTGGGCCACCCTCTCTGGCGCGCGGATCGCCTCAGGGGCGGCGTCGGAGGCACCGCAGAGGGGGCTCCAGCGCCGATCCAATAAATCCGCGCGGAACTCCCAAAGTTCATGCTCAGGCAGTCTTTCCTTGTATGTCCAATTCCAGGGCCTTGACGCAGCTGTTGCAGGCGAGAGCCTCGCACAGCTCATTAATCCCCTGCGGCCCCAACTGCAGCCCCGCGAGTTGCGCGTTCGGCTTCCCGTTCCGCCGGATGCAGGCAAGCTCCTCCGCGAACTGAATGTCCACATGTTTGGACGCCTTGAACGGAGGCAGCAGCAATCAAAATTAGGAGACAACGCCTGGGAGGGCTTAGTAAAAACGGTTCAAGCATAAGAACGCGTTTCTGTATGTTCGGCGATGACGGGCGACATGGAAGGGGGGCGAGGGGGGGGGTATGACGTAACGCCCCCCCCCGCTGTGTGCCTCCGGCACCGCAGCCGCGCCCGCGCGCGCGACGCGACGAGCGACGAGCGACGAGCGACGAGCGACGAGCAACGACGACGACGACGCGAGCAGCATGTAGGTGGCGATCTGCCCCATTGCGCCTTTGTACATAACGACGCTCGCGTGCACCACAGCGCGCGTGTATACCACAGCGCCTGCGTACACCACAACAACCGTCTGCAACGCACTGCCAGTGTACACCACAATGCTTGCGTACATTACAGCGCCGGTGTACATGTGTACACCGCAACTACCATGTGCAACACAACGCGTGTACACCACAATGTTTGCGTGCACCGCTGCGCCTGCAGGCGGCCCCAGCATCGAATCGATAAGCCGGATCGGATCGACCGGAGCATCGAATCGGGAGAAATCGGCAAAAGCCGGCAGCCAAATCGAAATCGGCTGAGGTCGGCAAGTCCAAGCCGGGTCGAGTCGGAAACCAGACCGCGTCAAGCCGGATCGGAATCGCAATCGGAACCCCCTCCTGGGGAGGGGGGGGGGTTGGACCCCCCCCTCTGGGGGGGGTTCGGGGTCCCGGAGCTTCTCGGACCCCCCCCCCTTGGGGGAAGGGGGGGTCCCGGAGCTTTTCGGACCCCCCCCATAGGGGGGGGTTTGGAGTCCCGGAGTTTTCGGACCCCCCCTTCTGGGAGGGTTTGGGGTCCCGGAGCTTCTGGAAAACCCCCCCGTGGGGTGGGGGGGCTCGGAGCTGTCGGAAACCCCCCCGTGGGGGCGGGGGGGGTCCCAGAGCTTTTCGGACCCCCCCCCCTGCAGGGGGGGTTTGGAGTCCCGGAGTTTTTCGGATACCCCCCCTTCTGGGAGGGGTCTGGGGTCCCGTAGCTTTCGGACCCCCCCCCCTGGGGGAGGGGGGTCCCAGAGCTTTTCGGACCCCCCCCTGGGAATGACCCCTGGCCTGTGCATGCCACAACGCGCGTCTATACCACAGCATCCGCGTGCAACGCAGCATCGGTGTACACCACAACGCTTGCGTGCATAGGACAAATAGAAAGAGCATGTTCTTGAATGTCTGTTGCGGGGAACTAGACACCACGCCAGGAAAATGATGATAATCGAATGCGACGTTCTTCCCTCCCCCCTCCTCCTCCACCTCCACCACCTCCTCCTCCTCCACCTCCTCTTCTAAACTTATCAAATTCCCTGAAATCTTTGATGGCCATGACAAAAAGAAACCGGGATACTATCTGATATGTTATAGACACAGCTGCTGCGCTGACCCTAGGGCCCTGGAAAAAAAAGGGTTGGGCCAAAGTGCGACGGTACGCTCACTATGCTAACGCTGCGCTCTGCACGATCTGCACAAGACACAACGCGCGCAGCGTATATTTCACACCTGTGAAAGTCGCAACTCCACAAGGTAAACATCTTCTGCACAAGCTGCCGAAGACTGCATGAACAAACGGGCATAAACAAGCGGCACGAATGAAAGGCAAACTTGCGCCTGCTATATAACTGTGAAGTGCACAACTGCGTAACTATGAAATGCAAAATTGCGACTGCAAGCTGATGATGGAACGCACAACTACCAAACAAACTGAAGGCACAAAAAATTGAAGCTGCGCTGGTGCGTTGGCTCACTCACCGCAGCCCTTGGGGCCATCGTGTGCTGTCCGATCGTAGCCGCCCTGCCACTGATTGGGTTCGAGCGTCTTCACTGAAACTTCGCCTGCTCGCTTGAACCCATTCATCTTGTGACAGAATCGCCGATGATCTCCCTGCAGCCGGTAGGTAACCATACGCTGTACGCCGACCGTCGGACGTCGCACCTGCTTGTGGTTGCTGCTCGTATTCTTGATGAGGATGGTCGTCTCCTTGTCGAAGCTGGTCGTCGCTGTCTCCTCGGTCGTCTCATGCTTGTTGCTTGTCTCAGTCTGGTACTTCACACTGGAGTCGTCTCGATGATCCATACACTCTCGTAATACATAGTAGACTGCTGGAACTGCCACTGCCATTCCAACCACAGTAATCACTAATGCATCCCATGCGCCTCCATGAAACCACGGCCGCTTCGCAATCTCATCATACTATTACTTCTACTCAGGGTGGTAGTCGGACTCTGGAGTGTAGGCTGCCGCCGACTTGCAACAGCAAGTCGCAAAGACCAGCAACTGCATGAGTGGTGATCTCGCCTTCGAAGCTGATGAAGTCATCATCTTACTCTTATGGATGATATCCTGTCGTTCCTCCTTGGTCTTCTTCTTGGCTGCCGCACAGGTAGGGTCGCTATGTTGGTGAAGTCGTCCAGCTTGAATTCTGTCTGCGGATGAATTGTAATGGCCGCTCGCTTCGTGAGACCACCCGCGCACGGCCGCTCTGATGAGATCCACTTCCATTGCGTCTGCGTTGCATCCATGCGCTCTCGCGGGGCCAATGCCTCGATGCAGGTGCGCCTGTCCCGGGAACAAGTGATGCTATCCTTCTTGGCTGCGTCGTAGAGTGCCTGCGCATCGATCACGAGTGCTGACTCTCCTGCGTAGTGCGTGCTCTCGTTAGTGTTGACGTTGGCGTTGCCGCGAATGAGAGCTGCCCAGGATTCCTTCGCAAAGTCGAGCGCGTCCATGCCTGCAGCCGCTGCTTGGTATTCAACGCGTAGCGATGAAGTGGTTATTCTCATCATCTTGAAAGACTTCCAATCAATGACGCAGAAATCTGAGTCCTCGCCGTCGACTACTGCCGGCTGACATGTCATGATCACATATCCTCCTTGACTAGCTCCGTCTTATCGTACTCCCCAAGCTGCGTCCGTCATTGCTACCAGCGCGATGTCGCTGACCTTGCCAATCTTCCTGATCGAAAGCCCGACGTCCGCGCTCTGCTTGTAGAACATTAGCGCCCTATAAACCTATCTTGCTTAAGCCGCCGTCGCCGTTGGAAGCTGCCTCTGGCGAAAGCTACCGAGGCCGACGCACGTGGGCGCGCTTGCGAAACTTGGCCACTGTAGAGCTCCAAGTCGTCCTCGAAGTTGGCGCATCGCCTTTGGTTTGAGCGGTCGGTCGTTGTTGCTGTCCCTATGATCAATCGTGATCGGTTTGAGGTTTGTGGCGCAGGACTGCATCTTGGCGTTTTTCCCCGCGCCGCTGGGCGCCGGTTGCCGCAGTGAGTGGTCCGGTGCAGGTCTGATCCAGAATGCTCCATATTGTCCTCGTCGACCCACTTCCGAAACCTGCACTTGTTCTTGACTGCCTCGATGATGTTGATGTAATTGCTGCCAGACTTGCGATCCCCTCCTCCGCGCATGTCGTCAACGTGGATTAAGATAAACCCGTCGCAGTTGCCGCCCTCATCGTAGTTAACGAAGAAGTATGGGCCCAGGGGGTGCTGCCTGAGCCGGCTGGCCTTGAGGTCGTCAACTGCTCGTTGCCACCAACGTCGCGGTGCGTCCACTTGTCCGTGCATCGGCTTGATCAGCTTCATGTGAGGTATGCGGCATCGCGTGGCACTTTGGCGTATATTACTCGTTCTTGCGGCCGTCATTGTAGAAATGCGGTTGCCACGTCCGCCGCCCGCAATCACCATCCGTTGTTAGGTGCCTGTCGCATAGCCAACTTACATCCCAGTCGAGACGCTGTAGGTGATGCCGTACCTTGCCGTCGAATGCGTCTGGGACGTTGATGCCCTGTAGCACGAGACGCGCCGTGGCCCTCGGCGCGCTGTCATCGTCCTTGGTCCATGTCAGTACCCACTTGGCCTTCAGGATGCGCTCGGGGCCTTCGTCTCCTGTGGGCTTATGCAACTCCCGCACTGCATGCCCGAACAACTCCCCAAGTTCCTTCCGCTTGCCATCCATGAATGCTGCTCGCTCGCGTGCCGCCATGGTCATGGTTCTGATCTTGGCGGAGATGTCATTGAGCTTCGCTTCGTTGCCGTCGAACTCCCATCCGAATGGTAAGTCCTGGTCCCCTTAAATGAGCTGCATGGCTGCGAGCTCGTCGTCTGCGCTGTCGTCTCCCACTGGATTAGACTCTGCCGTCAATGCTGATGACGGTGGTCCTCGACATACTGCTCCAGGTCGGGTAAAGATGGAAGCTTCTGCTGCGCCCAATCGCCTGCGACTTTCCTTGGACTCCAAGCTCGCCGCAGCGGAAGTTGGGGCCGATGTTCGTGAACTCAACGAGGCTGCCGCCGCTGGTCCCAGCGTAGCTGGTGCTGGTGTAAGTGGTAGCCGCTGAACTGGAAGCGGTGGTGACTGTGTCTGCGTGGTTTGTGGCGTCGCTGTCTGTCCTTGCGATTCCAGTCTGAAGTGGGGGCGTCGGCGGTACTGGTTAATGATATGGTTGTCCTTCGCTTGGCTGTCCTTCTTGTCGAAGTGCGCTGGGAACGTCTATCGGCTCGTCCTCTGAAGTGCCGGGCATGCCTGGACGGGGAGAGTTGTGGTGCCATCTCCGCTGTTGTCGATGCTGCTGCTCCGGTAGATCGCGTTCCCCTCTGTCGTTTTGGTGGCGTTTCGTCTCCTGGCCCATCGTCGTCGCTGATGCCCATCCATGTCCGAGTCGCCTGGCGCGTCGAACGGTTGCTGCTGTGAACCGACATCGTGGAACTGCGCGTCTCGGTCCTCCTCGCGTTGCCGAGCGTCTCGTTGGCCTGCGTGAGGTTCTCCAGGAGAACACATCCTTGATCGCTGACATCTGGTTGAACGTGTTCCGGGGCACAGAGAGATAGGTTCGCCCCGTGCGCGATCCAGCAGATCCTCGGTCCGCTCTCGTTCTGCCTCATCTCCATGAAGACCGCGATTCCAAGTTCCTTCCACTTGTTCTCGATGAGCTTGTTGGTTTTGCCCTGCCCACAGTACCGGCGCC